AGCAAAGCTTTTTTTCTTCTTTTTTTCCTAAATAGTAACAATATTCCCAAGATTTAGAGACTATTTTTCAATTATTCTATAATCATTTTCTATCAAATATGTTACATTTTAATAAAAACTTATTAACTTATTAATAAGAGCAGCATTTCATCTGAAATCTTGATAAGAAAATAATAATTTTGATTTGAATTCAAAACTATTTACATGGCATGATACTACTTTTTTCTGTTTTGCCAATAGAATTTTCTTTTGTAATTTGATTTTAAAAATGTGTTTTACTTGTAAAAATACTAAAAAAATTATAATATTTAATTAGTATAATTATATACAAAATTAATTTTTTGGTTTTTTTTTTTAAAAATATTTTTTTTTTCTTATTTTAGAATTTTTTTAATAGTTCATTAAGACTTGTCTTCATCATCATCAAGTTTATTTTCTTGAAAAGCTAATAAGTTATTGATAATAAACCAATCAGTAAATAATTTTTCAAGATTTTGAGAGATTTCTATAAAATCTTAACTTGGGCTTAAAGATCTAACATCAATTTTATTAATAATTAAATGCCTTATAGCAAATAAGGTTGTATAATGTTTTAACAAGTCTAATTCAATATTCTTGCAATTAGTTTATAGTACCATATTTTTAAAAATTTGATGAACCATTTCTTTTGTATCAACTGCAGTATTGATAAGATTTCCATATGTTCATGCATATAATGCCAAATAAGCATTAACATAAAGATTAGAAAAACTAACAAATTCTTTAAAAACCTAAATAATAATTTTTATTTAATAAGTTATAAAAATATACTATATCTAAATATTTGATAACTAAATATAGTTATTATATGTATGCAGTTATGATATACATATTAAAATTTCTGTATATATAAATAATACAATATATACAGAAATTAGAATATCTTAATCAATCAACTCTTTCTAACGATTATTCGAATCAAACTTTTCAAAAAGCTGAACTACAGAAAAATAATATAGTTAATATATTAAACTTTATAAAAACTTTTTCAGAATACTGTACACATATAGTTAAACATTGAAATAGAGTTAAAAAAGAAGTTGCAGCTTTGTAGTGACAGTTTAAACACACTTTGAAACTATAGAATAAGTAGTTAATAAAAGCTAAAGTTTTTTATAAAGTAAACAACAAAGTTGGATATATTAGTTTTATACAACTATAAAACCTACAAGGAACATCTATAAAGATCAAAAACTTACAAAAACTACAAAGTTGGTTCACCTCTTGCCTTTACTTTGCTTTGAGGAAATTTTGTAAAAGTGAACAATTTAGCTTATCCTCTTCTAAAGATTAATATGTAAAACTACCAAAACAGTTAGCAGTGTTTACTTCTTAAATGGGTTTGTTGATGACATAGATTAAAACAAGACAGTAATACAAACATAACTATATACGTATCTCGAAATACTAAAAAACCTGAAAATACTGCCTCCAGACTAATTAGTACTTTATACTGACCCTCTATGATCAAGTCGAAGATTTTTTCTTTTCTACATGATTTTTTGTTAAATAATCTAAGTAAATAAAAAAATAGTAGAGTTATTTTTATTTAGTATACTTTATAATTTTTAAGACCCAACATAGGCATACAATTGTGACTGTTTGATATTTGTGAATTGCAAGTTTCACACATTTCTTTTTTTCTTGTTTATTACCTTTCCTTCTTTTATTTCTTGATTTATATTTTTTATCATTTATCTCTATACTTCAGTTTTGTTTTTTATATAAAAAATTCTTTTTTTTGTTTTTTGCTTCCTTACAAAAAGATGTTATCAGATTGGTGATATCCTATTGTAAGGTGGCAGTTAGATGAGCAGTTTATCTCTAATTGGGATAGTGTAACAGGTCATACTTAGGTACTATTTGGGTGGCTGGGTAATGCTAAACTTATATATCAGTAAAATTCTATGTAATCTGCATAGTTTCAAGAATTCTAATAAAGTATTAGCATGACTGCTAAAGTTAAAAAAAATATATATATCTTAATTGAATAATAACTATATTGTTACTATTGTAACTATATATAGTTACATATAGTTATAGTATATTAAAATATTTGTTTAATTTTTGTATATTAATTATCTAAGTTAATATTCAAACTTTAGTTTTCAAGTTGGTTTAGGTCACAGATAAATTAGTCTGAGCTTCTATTCTTGCTATAATATTTTAAAAGTAGATTTAAACTTTATATAAAATCTCAGTTAAATATTCAATAAAGATAGAGGCATGGCCTTACCATTAATATTAAAAAAAAAAAACTTGAATTTTCAAGATTTGCTAAAGATTTATATAATCATTTTCTGAATATAAATATTTAAATACTAATTACATTGATTTAGAAACTAAATCCAATATTTAATTAATAATTTAGTAACTAAATCAATATGATTAGCATTAATTCTTTATTGAATTTTTACTAATTTATTATGCTTTAAATGACAAGATTTTAAAAATTAAATAAGAATAAATGGCATAACCATTGCTAATTAAAGATAATTAGACATTATAAAACTTTTATAATAACTAATTGGATTAGACTGCTTTTTTCAATATATTGAATACTCAAAATTTTTCCAATATTTAAGAAATATTAGTTAACCTTTTGATGAAAACAAATCAACTATTAAATTCAAAAGTCTTATTATTTTGCCAGCAGTTGCATGATAAATATCTTGAGATGTTTGAAGATGCTAATTCTATATTAATTAGCTTAGCACTGAAACTTTGTTACATAATTCATAATTAGTTAAAATTATTTCACATTTTCTTGCAGTATGAGCAGATAAAACTTTATAAAATTGTTCATTTGTAATATAGCAATACCTTGAAAGCTGTGCAATATCTAAATTTTTATTCATTAATTGTTTTTTAGAAGCTTGGCAAGTTCTACAATCTTTGTTAGCACTATGTTATTTTATATCTGCAAGGTCATTTTTTTGTAAGAGATCAGCTATAACCACCCCAAGATCAGCAATTATCTAATAGTCTTGATCCTGAATATTTATAATTTAGCTATGCTCTAATGATTTCATTTCTGCAATGAATGGTTTAATAAATTCATCAAAAGTTCTACCAAAAGGCACAAACTCTAAAATAAAATAATTTTTTAATAGTTTTCTCATAAACATTGGCATGTTTCCAAATTGTTAATAAATTTTACCAAGAAAATGATACTGTTGACATTAAGAGTTTTATATTTTTAATCATAACTTTTGATATACCAAACCAATTTAGATAAAACAGCCACCATTGGATTCAGCTCATCAAGATGGTTCTAATAAGTATAACATTATGTGATTCTGATTACAGGATCATAAAATCAGAATAATTTTGATGAAATACTAAATTTAGTACATATGATTTGAATATAAATAGCTAAATTAGCTAAGCTTCTAAAAGCATGAAAAGCATAAAAAGCATAAATATCACAAATATTACAGATCTTAAATATATCATATATATTATTTCTTAGCTTTCTTTCATATATATAATATCTTTTATATATAACATATAGCATATATCTTTTATATCTTTAATATTTCTTATCATGTATCTTAAAATCCCAAATCACTCTGTATTTTGTTAAGTTTTGTGTAGACTTTTGTATAGAATCTGTCAAGTTATAGTCATTATACTATAGTTAAGCAGCTTCTGTTATCACTATAGTTAAAGAAAAAACTACAGATTAATAATACACATTTTGATATATTCTAAAATTATTATAATAAAAATTCAGAAATAATTTAATAATTAGCATATCTTTATTATATATTCAGATGAATATTAATACTCTAATAAGATACTTCAAATTTTCTAATATTTATTTAATTTATTAACTATCTCACTTATATTATGAATAAACTTAGGTTCTTTATATGATATAGTAATACTAACATGATTAATAATATCTTGCAATTCAACTAATTTTATACTGTTAAGCTCAAATAAATTATTAATTAATCATACTTCACTAAGCTAGAAGTGAAGTTTTCTATTATTGTTGTGAAAATTCTTTGAAAGTTTATGATATTCTATTATTTTTTGAACTTTTAATTTCAAAGTATTATCTAAGATAATAATAGCTTAAATTTGTTCCAACTTTTTGACATTGTTTCAATAAAAATAAAATTACTAGCATAATATATACCTAGATTTTTATTAAAAAATAATTAATTTGTTAACTATTCTATACAAAGCTTAATACTTAAAAAAAAAAAAAAAAAAAAAAAAAAAAAGTCAATTAGTTAAATAGAACATTTGACCAACATTTAAACTAATATTTAATATGTTCTATTCAATCGATATAGCAAATGTTATTTTGAATAAATGCCATTTGGTATATTTAATTTTGTTATTTTTTTTATAATAAAAAAAAACTTATATTTGTAAATTTTAATTGAAACTTGGTTATATAGTGAAGATTCAGCTTATAAATTACTATGCCAATATTCTGATTTATTGGTAACTTCTTGATTAGGTCCAAAGTACATGTGTTTTATTAAAGTTAGATTATTTAATATATGCCAAATAATATTATTAATAGATAAGTAATAAGTATCTTTAGTATTTTTAGAATTTAATGAAGTTTTTTTAGCTAAAATATTAATAATTCTTAAATATATTGGTATAAGAGGAAGATTATATCTCTAAGATCTAAAATGCCAGATATTCTTTATCATATAATGCAAATTGAAATGAGGATGATGCATTATATTAACAAGATCATTATAGGCATTAGTAGCTAAATTAGCATTTTGTTAGTAATTTGAATTCTAAATTCAAATTAATAAAGCAAGTTAAATCTTACAAATACTATATTTTTGTATTTAACAAAATGACAATACAGCAGTCAAATTTTTAAAATATAATGAAAATTTATTTGTATTTTGCGATAATCTTTTAAAATCCAAGGCCTTGTCAATAATATTTTCAAAGTTTTATTATTTAATAAATTATCTGATTCATCTGATTCATTTGAGTTATTTGATTCCAATTCATCCATTTCATTTGATTTATCTTATTTATCTAATTCATCTAATTTATCTGAATTTTTTTTTAAATAATTATCTAATAAATTATTTGAATACTTTGAAAATATTGTTAACAAGTGTTCTGAATATGAGTCATTACTAATAAATTCTTCAGAAAAATTGTTATTGTTCTCTTGATTGTAATCAGATTCTTCTGAAAAATCCAAATTAATTTCTTTTAAATTATTTAATTCTTTAGAAGAATTTATGCTAACACCTTTTAAATCTTTACTAATATCTCTCTTTAAAATATATAAATTTGTATTAAAGTTTTCCTGATATTGCAAAGAAGAAATATGAGAAAACTTTTGTTTAGTATAAGAAATTAGCTTTTTGTAATCTTTTTGTTCAATTTTATTTCTCATTATATTAACAAATAGAAAAAAAAGTTAAGATTATAGTTAATAAAAACAATTTGCTATTATTTATTATAATATAAAAATTTAATATTTATAAATATATGGTAGCAAATCATTAGAGAGCTTTCAGAAATCAGGTGATTAGAGTTTATTAAGAGGCTACCCCCATTCACTCCTATCTGATACTTCAATTAGCCAATCAAATTTTATGTACAGTATATTTAAAATTATTATTATAGTACAGTACCGAATAGCAAAAAACATTTAATTTTTTTTTAAAAGTGCCAAATTTTAAAATTATATAATCAATTATAATTGGTTAATTTTTATAAAGCACCAAAATTTGATTTATGCAACATGAGTTTTAATTGGTTAATTATTATGCACAATCAGTCAGAACAAAGAAAAAGTTTAATATAGTCAAGACGATTTTACCTAGTTCATCTAAGATTTTTAGATATGGCCATTATTGCACATATATTTATAATGAATCTAAAATGTTATGAAGTCTAAATTTCTTTACTTCATCGTTCGTTATTATGGTACATACATACATTGCCATTTTATTGTAGTATTGCATTAAGACTCAGATCACCCATCTTGCTTAGCTTTTAAATAATACCTGGGATATTCTATATTATTATTTTATCTCCAACTATAGTATTCTGTTTCTTTAACAGTACCCACGACTGCTATTCAATTTAAAAAATAGAGGTTTTGCTAAGACCCAGGCATTGCACTATATTTAAGTGTCAATTATTTTTTAAACGTAAATTTGACAGACTAATTGCCAAAATAATAATTTATCAAAAGGGTAATTTTAATACTCAAAATTATTTTATGCAAATCAATTTCTGTGTCGAAGTTACCGAATATTACAAAATTTATGATTTTCAAGGCAGTTTGAACCTTTTTACTGCAAAAGAATATTGTTTAAATAAAATTTATTACAAAATTTTTATATTTATTGGCTTCGAAAAGTATGACCAATATAACTAACCATTTTGAGTAATACTCAATTGAATATGTAAATTGTATCTTCTGTAGTTTTAGATAGTCATAAAAACTTACATTTCACAAAAATTGCAATACTAATCAAAGCTA